AAAAAAACACTCAAGGAAGGAGGCACAAAGATGCAGAAGATTTGGGAAAAATACAGCAGCAAAGTCACATGCATTATCTGCTTTGCTGCTATGTGGATCTTTGCCAAAATTCACAGGAAGAAATGGAAAATGGTTTTGTATGGGAGAAAGAGAGTCTCAGCTGTTGATGTATCAGTGATATAGGACAATAATGTACTGTAAAGCAATAAAAAATTGCCAAACCTGCAGAGATGCCAATGCAGTTGAAAGCAGGACTCCTTTCCAGCCGGTCTGGCTGGTTTCTGAGGGGTTTGGCGGGTGCCTGCCCATGAGTATTGACCATTTGAATGAAGTGAATGCTTTGTTTGGGCCTTCAAGGCAGCAAACTGAAGCAATCCCCTGTGTAGTTCCCTACTGATGGTCCCCGCAGGCCCTTTGGAGGGACAGGCTGTGCCTGGGCTGACCCTTGGGAGAGGCTGGGAGGTTGATAGATGCCTGATATGTCCATGGCTGGGATCCTACAGCTGTTCACAGCAAGCACCGTGAGCATCATTTCAGCCCCACAAGCAACAGGCTGAACCTTCCATCTGGGAGCCCCACAGCCAAGTGCCACTGTAGAGACACAGGATCCTGGGAGAGCTTCGGTTAAAAGGTCTCTGGATGTCAGATCATCTCATGATCTCCCCACCTCTGAGCAACGTGAGATAACCCTACTCTAAGCTTTGAATAATGGGCCTTGGTGAGGTGAGAAGTCCCACAAACACATGGGTACCAGATCTCTCAGATGCCTATCAGTAGAAAAGGCTGAGCTCCAATGGATGACAAAGAACATGGATATCCACTCATGGCAGCTGGACACTGCCCCAAGCTCCCCATCCACACCTCTTCCACCAGACGTAGAGCTCCTAAGAAATGGAAAGTCGAGACATTCAAAGTGATATCAGCACCACAGCACTCTCACTAGTCAGATGCAGGGCCTGGGAAGGATTTTCTTTCTCTCTCAGGTCTATCACTTCTGGAGTACTTTGCCACTCTCCATGGCTCTGAGCACAGCCCCTCGCCTGGCTGAGCCATTTCGGGTCAATGATTCCCTGCTTTGCAGGACCAGCAATCCAGCTGTGCCCTTGATCTCTCAAGCACTATTCCCTGTGGCAGTTTTGTTTATCTAGCTCTCAATCATTTGTAGCACAGATATTCACAGGGAATGTCCTAGAGCTTCAAGCTCAACAGGAGATGCTATTTTTTAACTGCCTCTGCATAAAATAAGATTGTCTTTTTATTGCATTTCTGTCCCATTGTTTGCAAACAGACCCCTATTTCTGACTCAAGAACTTCTCCCTTCAGAAGTATTATGAGTTACTGCAGACAGTTTTGGGGCTCACAGTATTTAAAGATTTCAGCATGTTCTTCTCAGGACTTGCTTTGTGGATGCCTCTGAAAAGTGCATGGTCTGAAGAGAAGGCTCCATGCCATGCCTGGGAGAAGAACATCAATGGAGGTGTCTTCCATAACAGAGTTGGAAGGTCCATGATGTCTATCAATATTACCCTTCTTCCAACATATCCATGTAACCACTTCTGGAAGGCCATATAAGAAGGCCTTCCAGAAGTCACCCTCAGCTAAGGACTGCTCTGGCACCCGGGTAGTCATGATAGTGCTGGAAGTGTTTCACTCCAGCTCTCACACAGACTCTCCAGATCCATATTTGCCTCTCCAAGATGATGGAGCAGATCCTCTTGGAAAACAATGCTGAGGCCCATGGAAAACAGAGAGGTGATTGGTATCAGCCAACACATCTATATTGAGTGCTCAAGAAGTGGGTCCATGTGCAAAGTCCTGCACCTGGGCTGGGGCAATCCCAAACACACATACAGGTGGAGAAGAGCTCGGTGGTATTGGCTGATGAAAAGCTGAACGTGAGCCAGCAATGTGCTCTTGCAGCCCAGAAAGCAAACTGTATCCTGGGCTGCAGCAAAAGAAACATGGCCAGCATGGCCAGCAGGATGATGGATGTTATTGTCCTCCGCTGGTCTGCCCTTGTGAGATCCAACCAGGAGAATTGTGTTCAGCTCAGGGCCCCCAGCACAAGAAAAACTGGACAAGAAGGACCTGCTGGAGCAAGTCCAGGGGTGAGGTTTGCCATCCCTGCTCTGCAGCTGGGAATCCAGGGTGAATCTGTCCCCAGTCCCAAAACTGTCTGCTCTAAAGTGCAAACAGGACCATATGCCTATGCTAGAGAGAGAGATTTGGGTTTGCAAGCTGTGCTCTGAGCAGGAGCTCAGGGCACCTGATGACACCATCCACACTTGCAGAAAAGAGCTGGCTCTGGCTCTGGTCCCTGCTGTGGAAAAAAACAATCCTTGATCCCAAAGCTCTCCATATCTACTGCAGAGTTCCCTCTTTGCCAGCTCTCTGTATGTGCACAATATTGTCTTTCACACGGAGCACAGTGGGAACTGCTGAGCAGCTCCAGCAGGAGACCTGGTATGGGCACACCCTGCAAACAGAGCACAAACCCCACCATGGCAGTGATCTCTGCTGCATCCCATCCCACCCCTTCCCATCCCACCCCTTCCCATCCCACCCCATCCCATCCCATCCCATCCCACTGGTCATGTCTTGGGGCACAGAGCATCTGCAGCATTTCTGCTGCAAACAGGGAATGGAGGGACAATGGAGAAGGCAGGAGCACCTCCCTCTCATGCCACAGTCTGAGAGCAGAGCCAGGTGCTGGGATTCCCCATGAACCCTGAGGCTCAGTGCCAAATGCCCCCAGAGCCTTCACCACCCCCAGACCTGCTGGCAGCCCTCTACTCACTGAGTCCTGGACATCACTGGGCTCCAACCCAGCCAGATTCACAGATCCAGTACAGCAGTGACACCAGAAGGACCACCCCCAAACAGCACTCCCCTGACAGTTACAAACCTTCTATTTCCATCCTAAATGTATCCACTTCTCCCTTCCACTGTACCGCACCACCCTCCATCCCCAGTAGACCTTTGCTCTCCATGATCCGTACCCAGGCACCATTTTTCACAAGCAAGTTCTGGTGTCCTTGCACAGAGGCTCTCCATTTCTCCTCTTTTTCAGAGGATCCACTCTCCTGTGAGCCACAGCCACACAGTGCTCACCCCACTCTGACAGACCGACCTCCCCCCCCCCAGCCTGGAGTAGCAATGCTAACACTCCTTTGAGCTGAAAGGTCTCAGGGCTGTCTCTTGGCTCCATCTCCAGAATAACACAGGCTGTGCTGCCAAGGAAAGCAGAACTCTCCTCTGGATGCATGACTCTAACACAGTCCAGGTGTGGACAAAGCCTCAGGGGTCCCGAGGCACTCCCAGCACCCCACACTGTTTGTGCATGATGTATTGGCAGCCCAAGCCCTGATCTGGAGACAAGTGCGGGGGTTGGAAAGAGCCACCAGGAGGACAACGGAGTCATGCAGAGCAGAGCAGAGCTAGGACAGCATTTTTAGAGCGGGTCAAACTTGGTCTTCTAACACAATTTGAGGGTGAAAACAGGCAGATCTCCATCCTGGATGTCAGGAAGCACTTCTTTCAGGAGCTATGCTACCTATGATGCACGCACTTACATAGACCAGCCCTACAGCACAGCAGGGGAGGGAAATGCCCAAGTTTGTGTCATTGGTCCCATCCCATCTCCAGGATGCTGCACCTAACACCATCACACTGCCACACACAGCCTGGTGCACAAGCTGGGAGGGATCCCCATCCCGCTGCACATCACCAGTTGCAAAGCTGCCACAAATGTGCCCCTCTGGCTCCTGGAGAAGTGCAGCAGCAATGTCAGACTGCAATTAGCCACAACTGTTCTACTGGCTGCTGCTTCAGCAGTTTAGAGGCTCCGGGTTAAAGGCTCATTCAGCAGCGCTCTCATCACCACCACTCCAACATGTCCTCTGCAAGCTGGATGGAAAATGTTCTGACATTAATAATTAAACGAGAGATTTGGTCCAGATCTCAAAGGTGCGCCCATAAATGGCAAAACGCTGAAAAGCCGACAAGGTGTGGGCTGCTGGATGCACAACTCTAAGTATTTCACAACGAAAAGAGGTTCCAGTGCTGTGTTAGAGGGAAGTCCTCCTTGCCACCATCACCATTTCACCAATGCACAAGGGACAAGCGTGATCTCTGCTGAAGCAGTGCAGGAGTTCATCACGGGAGCTTTCTCCAAGCCTAACAGCCAAGCACAACACCTCCTCATTTCTGCTTCCACGCATCGCTCTGGGAAGGTGACGTTCACTTTCAGAGGGACCGCACGGCTCCCCGCTCTCCCCATTCGCTCACCCAGCAGCACATCACACCCGCACGCACAGACCGCACCGCTCGCACCTCGCCGGCCCCACCGCGGCTGTGCGCCCAGCTGGGGTTACACTCCCCGAATAGAGCCGAACAAACTTGCAGGGCACGCCGAGCGTTCTGCTGTTCGAACGCAGAGAAACGCAGCTTTCCACAAGCAGCACCGCGGCCCACTTGCTCGCTGCTATCAAACCCCGTGCTCTCGCTGAGGTTCCGAACCACCCGCCGTGCTCCCGCAAAGCCGGTACCGGGACCTGGAGACAGCGCGGTACCGGCAGCCCCCGTTTTCCCCGCGGGATGCTCCTCCCGGAGCCGCAGCCCCGCACTTACCTGGGCAGCTCCCGGCTCGGCACCGCGGCACCGCAGCATCGCGGCGGCTGGAGGGAGCGCGGCCGCCCCCGGGCGGGTCGGGGCGGGTCGGGGCGGGCCGGGGCTCCGCTACCTGCGGGCACCGAGCGGAGCGGAGCGGCACGGAGCGGCTCGGCCGGGCACCATGGCACGGAGCGGGCAGTGCGCATGCACCGGCGGCGGAGCTGCGGGAGGGTGCGGGTGTCCGTCCGTCCCCAGGAACGGGTGACGGCGACGGGGAACGGCGCGGAGCTGCGTCAGGGGAGGGTCGATCGGGGAGTAGGGAAAGATTCTGCTCCAAAGGGCGGTGGGCATGGAATTGCTCCCATGGGCTGCAGGCGCAGGGAGCGTTTGAGCACTGCTCGAAGATATCGGGTTTGGGTGGTCCTAATGTGGAGCCAGGAGTTGGACTCTGTGACAGATTCTTTAGCAGGGTCTGTTGTGATAGGATAAGGGGAAATGGTTTCAAACGAAGAAGACAGGATATAAAGAAAAAGGGTTTTTTTTTTTTTTTTTTGTTTTTTTTTTTTTTTTACAATCAGAGAATCATAGAATGGTTTGGGTTGGAAGAGACCTTTAAGATCATCCAGTTCCAGCCCCATGCTATAGGCAGGGACACCTCCCACTGACCAGGTTGCTCACTGCCCCATCCAGCCTTGAGTGCTTCCAGGGAGAGGGCATCCACAGCTTCCTTAAGCAACCTATTCCAATGTCTCACCCCCCTCACAGTAAAGAATTTCTTTCTAATATCTAGTCCAAATCGACCCACTCTCACTTTAAAACCATCTCTCTTTGTCCTGTCACTTTAAAAAAAGTTCCTCCTCAGCTTTCCTGTAGGCTCCTTTTGGGTAGTGAAACACTGGCACAGATTGCCCAGAGATGTGGTGGATGCCCCATCCCTGGAGACATTCGAGGTCAGCCTGGACAGGCCTCTGAGGAGCTGTGGATGTCCCTGTTCACCACAGGGGAGTTGGGTCAGATGGCCTTTAAAGGTCCCTTCCAAGTCAAACCATTCTATGATCCTTGTGGGTCTCCTCCAGCTTGGATTCTCTGGTTCCATGGTTCCATGGCAACATGGTTCTATGGTTCCACAGTTCTGTAATTCCATGGTTCCACGGTTCTGTGGTTCCATGGTTCTGTAGTTCCATGGTTCTGTGGTTCCAGGGTTCTGTGGTTCCAGGGTTCTGTGGTTACGTGGTTCTGTGGTTCCACAGTTCTGTAATTCCACGGTTCCATGGTTCTGTAGTTTTGTGGTTCCATGGTTCTGTGGTTCCACAGTTCAGTTGTTCCATGGTTCCATTGTTCTGTGGTTCCATGCTTCCATGGTTCCGTGGTTCCATGGTTCTGTAGTTCATGGTTCTGTGATTCCATGGTTCTGTGGTTCCATGGCAACATGGTTCCATGGTTCCGTAGTTCCATGGTTCTATGGTTCCATGGTTCTGTTGTTCCGTGGTTCTGTGGTTCCATGGTTCTATGGTTCCATGTTCTGTGGTTCCATGGTTCCGTGGTTCTGTGGTTCCACAGTTCTGTAATTCCACGGTTCAGTGGTTCTGTAGTTCTGTGGTTCCATGGTTCTGTGGTTCCACAGTTCAGTAGTTCCATGGTTCCATTGTTCTGTGATTCCATGCTTCCATGGTTCCGTGGTTCCATGGTTCTGTAGTTCCATGGCTCCATGGTTCTGTGGTGCCATGGTTCCATGGTTCCATGGTTCTGTAGTTCCATGGTTCTGTGGTTCCATGGTTCTGTGGTTCCACAGTTCTGTAATTCCATGGTTCCATGGTTCTGTGCTTCTGTGCTTCCATGGTTCCGCGGTTCCATGCTTCCATGCTTCTATGGTTCCACCATCAGGAGGCCGCTGCCACCAACAAGATCTCCGCTTTTCACCCAGCTCTTAGGAGCTCCTCAGGGCTCAGCAGCCTGAGGTTGCAGTGCAGGCGGCACAGCCACGAGCTGCCATGTGGGTGAAGTGCTCGGGGCAAATGTCCCCCGCTCCTCGGTGCTCGATTTTTGGTCCGCTGCTGTAAAACAGGGTGGGGGGATCACCGTCTGTTGTCCGGGCAGAACTATTCCTCCTTCTTGGAAACAGCCAATCCCATTCATTCCCATATCACTTATTTTACATCATCCTTCTGCAATCACATTTTTTTCCTTGCTCTGAAGACAGGGATCTGTTCCCCCTGCTGCCTGCCTGGCATGCTTTCTATTTTCTGCACTAAACTGCTTTCCCTATCCATCATACCCTGTTTGGAGGTGTCAGCATCTTTATGTGCCTTTTCTTAGCACGTGCCCCAGATAGACACTGTTTTTACTCTATGATTTTTGAGACCACCTTGAGTGCAGAGAAAAGTTTTTTCTCCCCTTGATGCAGGACAAGGGGAAATGGTTTTAAGTTGAGGGAGGGGAGATTTAGGTTGGATGTCAGGGGGAAATTCTTTACAGAGAGAGTCGTGAGGTGCTGGAACAGCTGCCCAGAGAGGTTGTGGATGCCCCGTCCCTGGAGGTGTTCAAGGCCAGATTGGATGGGGCCCTGGGCAGCCTGATCTGGTATTAAATGGGGAGGCTGGTGGCCCTGCATGTGGCAGGGGGTTGGAGATTCATGATCCTTGAGGTCCCTTCCAACCCTCACCATTCTGTGATTCTGTGATTCTGTGATGCAGACTGTGTTGGGTTACCAGTGCCTTTCACACTGATTATACAACCTTGATATTGTGTAGGATGCTGACTGCCCTCTCACGTGGCATTACTTACACGTCTCATGGTCCTGGGCCTGAATTTCCACCCCCCATCTCAAGAAGGGGAGGCCCAACTCCTGAATGGCTGCCAGGAATGGGACAATTCTCCTTGCTGCAAACAAGCCCTAATTGAAGGTGAGATGCTCTCTGCTCACAGCACCAGAGGGCCAGCAGGAGAAGGGGACAAATCCTGTGGTACTGCTGTGCCTGAAGCCCCCAGCATGGGACATGAATGGATCTGGGCCAAGACACGTGTCTCCATCTCTAGCCAAGCACACTGGGGCAAATCAGGCCAGTATGGGGTATGATCCTGGGCTCTCCATGTTGGCACTCAGAAGGACCTGAAGGAGTCCTAATGCAAACCATGACCTCAGGAAGAAGCTCTGCCTCTCTGGCCCTCTGCCTCCCCTGCCTCCCTATTTTCTTGCCCTGACGCACTGAGCCCAGAGGGGGGAGTGATGACACACCTTGTTTCCCTGACATCACTCCACACTTTCACTTTCTAGGGAAGTGACACAGGCGGAAGTATTGTGGGCACCTGCCTGTTTCCGTCCGAACGTCTGCAGCCCCAAGTCCCATGCCTCTCACCCACAGACATCACTGTGTTTCAGATGGCTGAAAGAGGGAAAGCAGAGATGGCGGAGACCACACTCAGCTCCACATTCTCCATCGTTGTGAAATCTTCATCAGGAGTATTTGCTTCTGTGCCGGTGTCTTTGGACGACACTGTACTAGACCTAAAGATGAAGCTATTTGCATGGGATAGGAATTTCTACCCTTTTGAGTCAGTGCTGATTCATGATGGCCAGGAGTTGTCAAACGAACTAACTCTCAGACATTACAACATTACCTCCAACAGCATTGTACACCACATTTTTAGGCGTAAGTACCAGGCCAGAGGAGGGACGTGGCTGTGGGAGCAGGCTGGCTTCTGGCTGCCAAGAGGAAGGGGCAAGAGGACTGTCAGGCAGAGAGCCCTGTGCCTTGGGAGGGAAGAACTGGGAGGGGAGGGCAGAAAGGGAAGTGGATGGGGGGGAATGCTTCCCCTGAGGGCTCCCCTGAGGCTCCTTCCCCGGTGGGCTCCTGAGCTCTCCTCTGCTCTGTGTTGCTGTTGCAATGTGAGGTGGTGGTTCAGCTCCTTAAAGGGCAAGGAAGATGTCTCAGGTAAGATCACAGTCCTCACTGGCACTCTTGTGGAGGGAGGGGATCTGCATGGGTGGTGAGTGTGTGTCCACTTCATACGTGGAAGCTGTGTTAAATCTGGGAGTATCTGGTGGTGCACCAGGGGACTGTGCAGATAATGGGATACGTGAAGGTAGGATGGCTTCATTTTGATTGGAAAAGACCCGTTCTGGGAACAAATTCTTCCTGACATCCAGCCTGAACTTCCCCAGTACCACCTCACATCCTATCACTTTGCACGCAAGCAAAGAGACCAACACTTTCCTCAGCAGCATCCTCCTTTCAGGTGATTGCAGTGAGTTATAGAGACAATGATCATCTTCTTTTTTCCAGCCACAGGTGATCAAGAACCAGAAATGGAACAGGGCAGTCCAGCAGGCATCATCTCAAGGATAGTATATGATGATGATCCGGAAGACATCATTCCAATAGCCGAATTTCAGAGTCCTCGGGGAGGCATCATCTCAAGGATACATAGCCAGGGCCCTCTGCCAGCCATCTACTGGAGTCAGGGCACTATGGTAGGCAACACCTCAAGGATAGAAATGCAGGGCGGTCCAGCACACATTGCCTCAAGGATAAAAAGGCAGGCCGGTCCAGCAGGCATCACATCAACAAGAGCAAAGGTAAGGTCTGGCAGGATGCCCGAGGCCTGGGACAGAGGGAGCAGTGTGACAGGGCTGGGCAGCAGGCAGGGCTTTGCACCATGAGCCCACAGCCATCCCTACTGGGATCTGTGGCACTCAGTGTCCTGCAGCCGGGCTGGCCTGTGCTGCATCCAGGAGGCCTCTCCTCGTACCCCTAGCAAGCAAGCATGGCTGAGGGGAGTAATGTGGCTTGGTAGTGCTCTTCCTGTGTTCCCTTCTCCAGGAAATGCAGAAGTGGCCACAGTCAGATGTCCCAGCTCAGGAGAGAAGCTGTCGCTGTGTGAGGCAGGTAAGGGTCCTTGCCTGCAGCTCTGCTCTGCACCAGTCTAACAGGTCCTCAAAGGGCACAGTTCATGTCAGCACTGAGCCTGCCTGCCTCTCTGCCTCGAAAATGTCCCATGCCTGCCTCAGATCCCAGGGTGGTTGCCAGTCACTGATTTTCCTGGCCTCTTCTCTGATATTCATCATGATGTTTTCTAGACAGCATACAGCAGGGTCTGTAGTTCTCTTGTTCCAAAGAGGTAAAAGAAACACAGTATGCTTGATATACAACCACAGCAGCAAGTAAATGAAAGCAACTTTGCTGAACAGCGGCTTCCCACCATGTCATGTGTCTGAGTAAGAGCAGAAGGTGTTTGGGGTCTGCTTGGTGGCAGGCAGATGAAAGAAGGCACCATGCTGGGTCACCTTAGGCCATGTGTCAGAGCCTGCACATAGAGAACTGTTTCTGCAACCAGGCTACCAGGCACCTTCCCTGCACCAGACCCCTGCCACTTTCGAAATGACTCTCCTTCACCACACTTTCTTCTTTGTGCATCTCTGATCTGGACACAGGACAAAAATAGCAAAATAACATTGCTTGGGCAGAGCTGCTCATTACCTTGCTGCTGCTTGTCTGGTTCTCAGCTCATGGGCCAACCTGTGCTGTGCTTCACTGCAGCTCTCAGCACGCCTCCTGCAAGTGGCATCCACTGCACAACACCCTATTCAGCCCCAAACCAGTTGCTCTTGTGTTGCAGGAACTTCAAGAAGTGAGGCCGAAGATAGATCCACACATTTTGGAGGAACAAAACACATACAAGTAAGAGCTCCTAAGAGAAGTGCAAATGCTTTCCAAAAGCCCTTGTCACACATGGCGTGAGATTGATCTCTCTCCCACTTGCAGAGCTTGTCTCCCTGGACCAGGCACCTTCCAGTGCTCTGAGACAGGCCTTGCCTTTGAGGTGGAGTCAGCAGCGAACATCGTGTACAGATATGCCTCCTGGAGCACGCATCTGAAAGAGGCTGACCAGAATGTGTGGGTACCAGCTGGGCCTCTTTTCAACATTGGGGCGCTGCCTGGAACCGTGCGGGCTGTGTATCTCCCCCACTTCATCTGCGTGTCAGGTATGGCAGCCCTGGGACCTGCTCCCTGGCACAGCCCCCTGCCCCTCAGGCACCTGGGCACTCCCAAGACACTTTCACCCAGCCTCCAGTCCTTGTCCTTCAGGGATACTTCCAGGACCTACACACACAACACACACATAACAGCAATTTACCAAAGCATCTTCTTGGGACATCCATTAAGATTGATCCAAATTTTCTCCTCCCTTCAGAGATAGCTGGCACTCTCTTTTGTTCTTCCACCTTGCTTTGCCATTCTCCATCCTTTTCTCATGTTTTATTAAACCTTCACAGTGCTCCCTTCCCCACCATCTGCTCTGCACTCACACCACTACATTCTCCTCCCCTTCTCTACCAGAGGTCGTGATGGCCCACAAGGTTCTGCCCCAGATCCGCAGCAGTCCCAAGTTGCTACCTCAAGTTTGCAGTTTTCTGAGACCTTAGGAAGAATACCAAAGGCCTGTAACACCCTGCTGGACACAGGAACCCTGTAAATCCCAGGGTATTCATCACCCCTAAAGCAGAGCATGTCATGTTGTGTTGGTGTGTGTCTCCTTTCTTCTAATAAACCCTCAAACAGAAGGAGCTAACGTGAGAGGATGCAAAGAAGACAAAGCAGAACCTTGTTGCCTTTGCTGTCTCTTTCAGATGTAGACATCAGTGGATGCTCTATTGCTCATTTTGAATTCCAGAAGATGACCATGCAACAACCAACAAAAGTGATGGCTTTCTCTGCTGTCCTGGAGAATCCCAGCTTCTCTCTTCTTGGGGTGGTTTGGAGAAAGTTACGTTCAATCATTCCTCTCCCTATGCACTCCTTAGTGCTGATCTTCCAGCAGCTCCGCGCTGCAAATACAACCCTACATCTCTACCTGATCCCAGATGACAACTCTGTGAAGCAGGTAAGGTGAAGGGAGCTTGACCAGTTCAGAGGATGATGTCTGGGGTGGCTGCAGTTGCAGGGAATGCATTTGTTAAGCAGAGAGCCCCCTAAGGAACCTTTCTGTATTCGGCTGGGACAGCATACCCCAGCATGAGCAATGACATGGCACAGGATGCTCTGCAGTGTGGAGCAGAGCACGTGTCAGACATGCTGGCTGCTGCCATGCACAGTAATAGGTGGCTGCATAGCAGATGAACTCCTGTTCTGTGCAGCCCTTACCCTCCGACAGCACTGCCTGTAATGCATGTTCTGGGTTCTGTTCTCACCAGGGTGGTCTCTTCTCTTCTTGACTTTCCAAAGGCAGTGAGAGGTACCTCCAGCTCTCAGCTCTTTTTTTCAACTCTCAAAAGTGATCCTTGATGTTTACAGGCCATTGAAAGACAAGAGACAAGCTGGAACTCAAAGCTTATTCCCAAGCCTCCTCCATTCAGCCCTCTGTTTTTTGGCCACAGATACCAAGTGGCCAGTAATACTCAAGTGAAGATTACACCTGAAGTAAGTGGGACTGTTCCCTTTTTTAAAATATTTTGGTTTTGAGTGAAATAGAAAATACCACAGTTTCTCTGGATCTTCAGTTCAGAATTGTGATCTTTTCCCTATTAACTAATCAGAATTTCCCTTGTGTCAGCCTCTGCACATTGCCTCATCTCATCACTATATGCTTCAGAGAGGCTCTGTCTTTTCTTTATCCTCCCTTTACACTTTTGAAAGCAGTGATTAGTTCTTTCCTTTGCCTATTCTTCTCCGTGACAAACAAACTCTGTCCCTGCTTGCATGACAGGCTGCCCAGAGAGGTTGTGGATGCCCCATCCCTGGAGGTGTTCAAGGCCAGATTGGATGGGGCCCTGGGCAGTCTGGTCTAGCATTAGGTGGAATGGTTGGTGGCCCTGCGTGTGGCAGGGGGGTTGGAGATTCATGATCCTTGAGGTCCCTTCCAACCCTGGCAATTCTGTGAGTCTGTGATTCTGTGATGACATGTTCTCCTAATTGCAGTGGTGGTGCAACACTCAGAGATCGTTAGAATGGTGGTAAAATCTCAGCTCTATAAGGCGTTCAGCATTCCACTAGACCAAACCGAGGCTGAGCCCCTCTAGAGTTGACAACATACTCCCTCTGTGTGAAGGACAACAGATGAGACACTCCACAGTTCCCTTCCTCTATGACGTTTTTCTTCTTTTCTGTGTGGTCAGGAAACATGGGATGATGTGTGTAAATTCACAGCTCCATAGGGTGAGACCCAACTTCCTTCTTATCTCTACAGCCACACTTGCCATTTTGCTACAAGAGTCCTAAGGAACAACAGCTCTTTGTTGAGATCTACATCAGGAAAATGGCAGAGGAAATGGAATTCTTTATTACAGATGGACAGAATGACACTGTCATCTGGAGGGCATCGCTGAGATCAGGTAGGATCAGATCCATCTGTAACGGGAAATATGATAATGGGACACTGAGCTGCACTTCTTGTGACAGCGAAAAGAGGTGCTCAGATGCTCTGAGCACAGGGCATGGTACTGTGTCTAGGGATCATTTCATTGTTAGGCTAATTCTGCACCCCTACACTAACACCTGCAAATGTACACAACCATTGACCCCACTTAGCTGAGTTCTCAACAGATAGGCAAGAAATACTGAAAGCAGGAATTAATGGTTAATGGTTCCATGGAAGATCAGGCATCCCAGGAAGTCTTTTAGATGGGGTCATCATTACGTTTATGGTGTATTTCATAATCTCCCTCCTTTCTCTTTCAGGTGATATTAGTCTTTCTAGAAATGTCTCTAAGATCCCTTCAGGTCAGTACAGGTTTTCAGAGCTGCCTTTATTGAGTCTGAATATTTATTGGGGGTTTTCAATCTTGTGGCTTAAAGCAGATAACAAACCACCTTTTTCCCAACCTTACAACTCTTTCTGGAAAAAGACCCTTTAAATCTTTTATTCCATCACTGCTGGCTGCATGCTCTCTAAACTGGCATGTCTTTGGGGATCCTACAAAATGTTTTCCCTTCTTTGTCATCAGACATACTAATTCTGTAGAGAATTATACAGTTCACAGCCCAGAAATATTTCACGGGACTTTCAATAACTGGTAGATTTGGAGCATCTCATACCTTATCACAGAGCCAGTGCTTCCACTTGCTTCAAATACTCTAGGATCTCTGGAAGGGACAGTCCCTGGGATGTCACCAACCTGACCTCCCTCTGCTCTGGCCCTGTTCTTGCCTTGGCTCCAATGCTTCCACAGCTGATGAGGGAGCTTTCTTCTGGTGGCTCAGCCTCCTGGCTAGAGAGCAGCACTGCTGGTGCAGTGGAGGGAATGGGAGCACGTGGCTGTGGGACAGAGCAAACAGCCCTGGGATGTGTTGGCTGGGATGCAGAGTACCACAGCAGGAACCAACCTGCCTTGTCAAGTACAGCACAGTAACACAGGCTTTGGTATCTGCTAGGTGCAGCCTTCCTGAAGAAGCACAAGACACAGCTTTGTTCCAGGATGGGGCAGCTCTCCTCCATTCTACTAAATTTGAGGGTTGAAGATGTAATCAACAGTGAAGAAGAGGAGGAGGTGCAAGCTCAAAATACAAAACAAAAGAAGAATCAATTTCTGCTGGACCTAGTTGAGAAAAAAGGGTCCAAGGCCCAAGAGAAGCTCTTTCAGGTCCTCCAGACAAAAGACCGATTCCTTGTTGAAGACCTGGAGAAGAGCTAAGACCAGGAAAGCAGACAGCCTTTGCTCCCATTGCCAGATTAAGGGAGTGACAGGAGAGTCAGGCAAAAGGAGAGATTTGTCAGTGCCTGAATCCTGACCTTTCTATGAAAAAAATCCATGATGCAATGCAATGCCAAAGCCTTCTGAGCCACCAACTGCCAGGCCTGCTTCCCTTACCTGATGTGTTCACTACAAGAGGACAGTTGATCACCACTGAGGAGCTGCTGGAACAAGAAACCGTGGTTCCTAATCCAGTGCCCATGTTGTGAAGCCATCTGCCTTCTGAGAACACAGGGCCTCTGCAGGGTGTCCCGATGCTCCAGGCAGCTGCTGGTCGAGGAGCTCTCATCACAGCAGGAATCTCACAGAGACACAGAATTGTAGGGGTTGGAAGGAACCTCTGGAAATCCCCCAGTCCAACACTGCTTAGAGCAGCTTCCCTACAGTTTGTTACACAGGAAAGTGTTCAGGCAGGGTTTGAATATCTCCAGCCAGAGAAGGAGACTTTACAGCCTTTCTGGGCAGCTTGTTCCACTGCTCTGTCACCCTCACAGTAATGTTTTTCCTCACAGAATGAGATCATGAAGTCCAACCATCAACCTGACCATGTTTTCAGCTATTTTTTTATTATTCTTGTTTACATTTCTTATATTGTCTGTGTCTTATCCTTCAACGTTTCTCAGGGTACGCATTCAGAAGAATTCAGCACTTGTAGGGGGCCACCTTACACCCGACCCTCGCCCTTTAGATACTGATAGGCATTGCTCAGATCCCCTCTCCGCCTTCCCTCCTGCAGGCTGAGCAGCCCCAGGGCTCCCAGCTTTCCACCACCAGGTGGTGGCCTTGCGAGCACAGCGCCGGAGCAGCCGCTGGGCCCGGCGGGGCGGGGGCACCGAGGAGCCGTGCTCTCAGCGTCGCCACATACGGGCACTGCGCTGCCCGAACGCTCCGCTACACATCAGGCTCCGAAAAGGGAAATCTATCGCCGCGCACACAGCCCGGAGGAACTGCACTGCCAACACCAGCACGACAGCGCCGCCCGACACTGCCGGGGCTGCCACTTCCGGCAGCCGCCTCGATCGCATCCTTGAGCCGCCCTATAACTTCCGGGAGCGTCCTCATCCACTTCCGGGGCGCAGCGCCACCTGTGCTCTGGCGGATCAATTTGCCGCCCGCTCGGGGCTGTGGCCAGGAGACGAGAATGGACCTCGCGCGTGGGGCGGGGCGTGCAGGTCCGTCCGCCCGGGATTGGCTGGAGGAGCGGGCGACGAGGCCGAGGCGCATTCTGATTGGTGCTCAGCCGACGGGGCGGGGCCAGCAGCGGAGCGGAGAACGCCGTGCCTGATTGCAGGGCGAGGTGCTGCATGGGGACTGGGGGCTCGCACCGTGCTTCCGTGCTTCTATGGTTCCACCATCAGGAGGCCGCTGCCACCAACAAGATCTCCGCTTTTCACCCAGCTCTTAGGAGCTCCTCAGGGCTCAGCAGCCTGAGGTTGCAGTGCAGGCGGCACAGCCACGAGCTGCCATGTGGGTGAAGTGCTCGGGGCAAATGTCCCCCGCTCCTCGGTGCTCGATTTTTGGTCCGCTGCTGTAAAACAGGGTGGGGGGATCACCGTCTGCTGCCCGGGCAGAACTATTCCTCCTTCTTGGAAACAGCCAATCCCATTCATTCCCATATCACTTATTTTACATCATCCTTCTGCAATCACATTTTTTTCCTTGCTCTGAAGACAGGGATCTGTTCCCCCTGCTGCCTGCCTGGCATGCTTTCTATTTTCTGCACTAAACTGCTTTCCTTATCCATCATACCCTGTTTGGAGGTGTCAGCATCTCTATGGGCCTTTTCTTAGCACATGCTCCACACAGACATTGTTTTCATGCTGTGATTTTTGAGACCACCTTGAGTGCAGAGAAAAGTTTTTTCTCCCCTTGATGCAGATTGAGTTGGGTTACGACTGCCTTTCACACTGATTATACAACCTTGATATTGTGAAGGATGCTGACTGCCCTCTCGTGGGGCTTTACTTACACGCCTCGTGGTCCTGTGCTGAATTTCCACCCCCATCTCAAGATGGGAAGGTCGAGCTCCTGACTGGCTGATGGTTGTGGGACAACTGTCCTTGCTGCAACTGAGCCCTTTTTGAAGGTGAGATGCTCTCTGCTCACAAATAGAGGGCCAACAGCAGGGGGGACAAACCCTGTGGCAGTGCTGTGCCTGCAGCCCCCAACATGGGACATGGATGAATCTGGGCCAAGACACGTGTCCACATCTCTGGCCGAGTGCACTGGGGCAGTATGGGTTGCAGTCCTAGGCTCTCCATTGTGGCACACAGAAGGCCCTGAAGGAGTCCTAATGTAAACCATGCCTTCAGGAAGAAGTGCTGCCTCCCTGTCCCTCTGCCTCCCCTGCCTCCCTATCTCCCTGCCCTGATGCAAAGAGGCCAGAGGAGGGAGTGATGATACACATTTTTTCCCTGACATCACTCCGCACTTTCACTTTCTAGGGAAGTGACACAGGCGGAAGAACTGTGTGCAGCTGCCAGTTCCTGAAAGGCTGTCTGTGGCCCTGAGACTCTTGTGCACCCTCACCCACAGACATCGCTGATTTTCAGGTGGCTGAAAGAGGCAAAGCAAAGATGACGGAGACCACGCTCAGCTCCACATTCTCCATCCTTGTGAAGTGTTTGTCAGGAAAAAACATTTTTATTCCAGTGTCTTTGGACGACACTGTGCTAGACCTAAAGATGAAATTATTTGCACTGGAGAGTGAGTTCTACCCTTCTGCATTAATTCTGAACCGTGATGCATCGCTGATGAAGAATAAACTAACTCTGAGACATTACAACATCACCTCCAATAGCATCATACAGCAGACTTGTAGCTGTAAGTACAAGGTCAGAGATGGGGAGTGGCCATGGGAGCAGGCTGGCCTCTGGCTTCCAAGAGGAAGGGGCAAGAGAACCATCAGCCAGGGAGCCCTATGCCTTGGGAGGGAAGAACTGGGAGGGGAGGGCAGAAAGGAAAATGGATATGGGGAATGTGCAAGGTGCCAAAAAGGGAATGCTTCCCTTGATGTGACTGGTCTCCTGAGCTCTCCTCTGCTCTGTGTTGTTGCAGTGCGAGTTGGTGGTTCAGCTCCCTTAAAGAGCAAGGAAGATGTCTCAGGTAAGATCACAGTCCTCTCTGGCACTCTTGTGGAGGGAGGGGATCTGCATCGGTGGTGAGTGTGTGTCCACTTCATACATGGAAGCTG